GTGCCTAATAAGCACTCTGCAGCATGAGAATGCAGGCACAATCCTCCTCTGCCCACCCAAACCAGGTTTGCTTTATACTTGTGCTTTTAGATCTCAGTTCCCTAATGTTTCAAACATGCCATCTCTGGATTGTCTTGTCAGTAAATAGGTAATAAAATAATATGTAACCAGTACAGTCACTGGCTTTACATCTGTGAAAATGAAACATTGTTCAGTGTCATTCCTGTGTGTTGGAATATCACAGACTTGCAAACATAGAACCACAAACATGTACAAATAGGCATAGATACAGTCTTGCGGACATGGACACACAGGATTCAACTTTGTTATCATAATAATAATCCTTACGTTTGGTATAGTGCCGTTCGCTCTCTGAGCCCGAGTCAGAAGGTTTTGGATTCAAGTCCTACGTTGGAACTTTGAACTCAGATAGTCTAAGCTAACACTACGGTGCAGTGCTGGGGGGTGTTGCACTGTCAGACATGAGTCCTTCAGATGAAACGCTGAATGAGGTCCTGTCTGAGAACGAGGAGGCAGAGGGAGCCCTGCTTGTAGGTGGAGAGAATGTTATTGTGACATTGACCAATGCAGTCTCAGTACAAGCTCAAGGTCCTGGGAAAGTCTGTGTTTTGCCCACAAAATACACTTTACAGTATATCCTGTGAAGGGCTTTGAGATGTCTCAACAACATGATAAGGCACTGTCTCAAATGCAAGAATTATTATTATTAATATTATTATTATTATTGATAAGATTGGATCAGTGGCTAGTGATCTTTATGCTGTGGACTCTTCCTGGCACCAGTGCAGGGTGGCACCTCGGAGTCCACAGTTCTGAAGGAAGAAGTGACAGATGCTCTCATCGTGCTGGCGAGATATTCTTGTGTCTTTGAGAAGCCACAGAACAACAGATTGTCACTCAGCAGTTCATAACTAAATCTATTGTAGAAGTAAGGGCACCGACCCGGGTAACAGAGAGGAGCAACACTTCCTGAATGCACAGATTGTGTGTAACAGAAGCTGACAGCGTGTTCCCCGGCTGTGTTCACGTTCGCTTTCCATTGTCTCTCCTGCTTGAGGAAGGAGACTCAGTCTCCCTGACTGGTGCTCAGGGTGGGTGTCAGCTGTGGGTTCAGCCCCTGATGACTGGTACAACACCCAAAACACGGGTGCCTATTTAGTGCCCTTCACATTGGGTAATGTCTCAAAGTGAGATCTTCACAAAGATGGTGTAAGTCACCGAGCAGGATGGGTAGGAAGACGGGAAGGGGTTGAGATAAATACAAATGACCCTGGTAGATATATGGGATGAAATTAGAAGCGTTTAAAATTAAAATGCGTTCTCTGTGATAATTAGCAGACATTCCGTGATGAACCAGTGCAGATTGCTTAGCATTTCATGCTCAATAACCCACCCCACCTCACCGACTTTTACCCGAGTTGGGATCAGATATTTTCGCAGAATGTCCGTCAAGTGGCGAGAGGAACCTGATTGCCTGGTGACAGAAGATGAGGAAAGCGAACTGTGCCTTTCTCAACTCCTCACAGCTTAACTTCCAAATTGGTAAAATGTCCCGATTAATAAACAGTGTGAAAACTGCAAGCTGATGTGATAATTATCCCAAATGCTGTCAAATTATCGACTGGTCACACGTGCGTCTTATGCCGGTATTCCCATGATCCAGCGCGTAAAACCACAAGCTGCCAACTCCATAGCTGTAAGCAGATGCTTAATGCCCAACTAATGGCCAAAGGCAGGGAAAGGCTGAAGTCAGTGGATAATTACCCATAATTTAGCAACAGTATGAGAAGGGTCACATCAGACATGGTGGTGGTTATCTTGGGGTTTTGATCACAGTTTTCAACGAAAGTACAACAAATATCTGATGTATTAGCAACTTCTGAGCTCTGAGACGCTACCCTGGGTGAAAGGTGCTATATAAATGCAAGTTGTTGTTGTAGTCGTTGCTATACTCGGAAGTTCATTCACAGAGGCAAATATTAGAGAGTGAGTTCTGAGAAACTGTGACAGAACGAACAGCAGTAATGCTTATTCTGGTAATACCACAGCTTTGCAATTTACCGCAAGCAGCTTAAACACTCGCATGCTTTCTGTAATGTGTTTCACAATTCATTCATTAAGCCTGGGGCTGCCAACTCCGCACTTCTCTCTTCTCCACTGGTTACATTATAATAGTTACATATATGTATGACACTGTCACAAATATGAGGGACTGTCTGTAGTGTAAAAGGTTAATAAGCAGATGCTTTGAGATGCTATCCTGCGTGAAGGACACTATATAAATGCAAGTTTTTGTCGTTCTTAATAGGAAGCTTTGCTCTGAAGCCAATCTGCTTGATCAAGTGTGGTTGTTTTATTGAACGCGATGCATTGGCTCTAATGTGCAGACAGATGTTTTCACTGTTTTCAATAACTATGAACAGATGATCCCCAACTTCTCTCTCCAGGAGTCAGTCAGCCTCTCAGTCTGACTACTCCTGGATTTCACACAGCAGCTATCGGGAAATGTTTAGAGTATCCATAAACTTTGGAGGCTTTGAAATCTGCTTCGCTCAAATCAAAGACCTTTTTTACAATATGATTCTAATATTTTGCTACTGTCATCAGCTTGTGCAAGCTTGTATAATATTGCTGGAACTTGTGAGCTTCAGTTAAAAAAAAACACAACAATACAAATGTCTGAGTGGTGAATTCTGGCTATGGAACGCTTGAAACTTTCAATTGTAAATCCTTAAAACTTGACTGTTGTCGAGACTACAGTCAGTGTGCTACCTTGTAAATTTATGATTTGCAACAAAAGTTCTCACCATTTTCAATAACTAACTATACAGAGCTCATCATTAGATCCTGAAATTTGCATTACTAGATAGATACGAACTGGAAAGGTGAACACCAGTGTTAGGGCTACAAGCAACAATTCAACAAGTTAGGACCCTTCAGGCTTCCAAGGAGAAGCCCCAGCGGGGACCTTATTTGTTGCTTTATAATAATAATAATCTTTGCATTTGATATAGCGCCTTATTACTTCTTTGAGAATTCTCAAAGCGCTTCACAGAATATACTGTAAAGTGAATTAACTGTATATTTTGTGGCCGAAACGTGGCAGTCGATCGCACACGGCAGCGTCCCACAAACAGTTATGGATTGAGTGACCAATTGATTGATTGATTGATTGATTTATTGAAAGGATTATTTCCCCTGGAGAAGCGATCCACCAATTGACTAACGACGGGAAGAGACAGCAAAGCTTCTTGATCACTAGGCAGTTAGAATAATAGATGGTTTTGGCTTGGCTTAGCAGTGCTGGGCCCAACCCCAGTAAAACGCAAGTGACCCTCGCTGTCTTGGCTCAGGCTTGAGGAAGCTTGTGTGATGTAACCCGTGCAATGTATCCAGGTGTGAACAACCGCCTTCCTCACAGGTGGGGCGGGGTATTTACAAACGTCTGACAATGGAGAATTTAATTCTGTTTTACACCAATTGAGTAAAACAATTGTCACATCACAGCACAGTGCAAGATAGTACAATAGTACAATTAACGAGCTTGTTGGAACTCACTCAGTGTGTGGGAGCAACAGAGTTTCTCCTGATTTGGAAAGCAAACGTGTGTTTTGTGAATTAATGTAAATTGTGGAGGAGGATTACGCCTGCCTAGTCTGTCTCAGATCAGCTGGTCTTCATTCAAGAGTTTATTAATGGGGGAACCACATTGAGAGAAACACACCGCAGGCTCATCAGGGGTCCAATCCAGCCAGGCCGATGAGAAGAATGCTCTCTCACTACCAGGCATAAGGATCCACATCAATAAATAATAATAATAATCATTACATTTGATACAGAACCTTTCATGTTGGAAGGACGGCTTAAAGCGCATCACGAGATTTACCTTACCTCCAAGGGATGAGAGTGCTACCGCTGAGCCAGGTTAGAGTATCTCAATGCAGCTCCCATTGGGAGAGCAATTCATTCCTGAGTAATGCTGAGAGCCCACGGACACAGATAATTATCGATAATTTAGCAACAAACGTGTGAAAATTCTGCCTTTTTTCCACTGATAAATGTTTATGGTGCCAACTCTATACGCTGAGCTCCAGGACATCGACGGGTGAACATTGGAGGCACTAAGTGGGGCCCAAATACTACCCCTTCACCCCCATCCAAGAGGAAGGAGAGCTGTAGGCCTGAAGCACTGAATGGCTGCGGGAGGAGAGGAGATGGGATGCGCTTTCCTCATTCTTTCCCAATCAAATCATTGACTCTCTAGTGGTGAAGACAGCAACTCAGCTAAGAGAGACATTGGGATAACGTTTGCAGAGTTTCTAAACTCTTGATGGCGTTAACACTACAAGCTTCAGTGAAGGCCACATACCCGGTTGCCAGTTGTCCACATCTGGCTGTGATGTTGGGAATGACAGGTACAACAACAACAACAACAATTTTCATTTACACAGCACCCCTCAACCAGGGTAGCGTCCCAGAGCGCTTGACAGTGGCGGAACACTACTCCGAGCCGTGGGAAGTACACGTGAGACATCCCGGGTTTTAATGAAGTCGGATGAAACTCACAGCTTGAGGGAGAGATCGGATCCAACTAACATACAAGATCAGCAAGAGACACAGACACACCGAGACCCATTATCTGCAAGTTTTTCATAATCTGCAATTGGTCAGGTCCTAATTAGTGCAGATATCGGGCTCTCTGCTGTATTTTTAAGCTGATGATGTGAAATGCTCTCATTTGGCAGCATCGGTGGCTATTGGCAGCATAGCAACCAGCAACGCATGCAAGTGTCAATGCTTCAAGGCTTATTAGTATTCATGAAGTACCGCAGCTCCAAGCTGCTGGGTATCTGATACACCAGGAGAGGGAGAGGCAGAGAGAAAAGCAAACCCAGACTCCGTGGTCTGGGCGTGAGAGGGAAGATAATTAAAATAAACCAGGGAGAGATGAGAATTTAAAGAGAGTCTCCTCTTGGCCAGTGAGCTGGTGTGATTTTGTGTGTGTGCGTGTGTGTGTGTGTGTGTTGCAGTTCTGTGTGCCAGGAATGGCCACTTGAAGCTGTGTACTGTTGAACAGTGCTGCCTGCATCGTTCACTCCGCTGTTCTGGATTTGGGATGGGAGCAAAGTGAGATTTAGATCTTTGGATCAGCTCTTCATTTGTGAATCAACAGGAGGTGTACCTGTGAGCATCTGAGGCCATTACCTCAGTCACTTCATCACAGTCCATTCATCCATAGCAACAGAGTGAGTACCAGTGTCTCCACTGACTGTACATACATTTGTGTGAGTGTGTGTGTGTGCGCGGAAGAAAGTATGTGGTTGTGAGAGAGATGAGAAATTTGTGAGAGAGTGAGAAAGTGTATGTGTACGCTTGCATGTGTCTGTGTGGTGAGAGATTATGTGCGAAAAAAGATTACAAGTGTGTGAGAGAGAAATTGTGTGCCAGAGAGAGAGAGAAAATTATGTATGTTTGTGTCCAGAGTGTGTGACTGTGTGCGTGAGAGAGGTTGTATGTGTGAGAAACATTGTGGTGTCTGCTGGTGTGAGAGAGTGAGATTGTGTGTGTATGTGTGTGTATGTGAGACAGAGAGCAAAACATGCTTTACGTGTACGTGTGTGAGAGACAGGAAAGGAATGTATGTAGGATAGAGGCAAATGTGTGTGGGGGAAGGGGCAAATTGTGTTTGGGAGGGGCAGGCACTGTGTTGGAAGGGCAGAGTGTATAATTTGGTCACTCAATCCACGACTGTTTGTGACACACTACTGTGCGCTATTGGCTGCCACTTTTCACCCACAAAGTACACAGTCATTCCACTTTACAGTATATTCTGTGAAGCGCTTTGAGACGTCTCAACCACGTGATAAGGCGCTGTATCAAATGCAAGGTTTATTGTTATTTTTATTATTATGTGTGTTGGGATGGAGGGGAGAGGGCAGATTGCATGTGAGAAAGACCGTTGTGCGTTGAATATTTGATCCTATAGACTAGAGTCTAAAGTAATGTGATATGTCAGAAATTAGACTCTGTATCATTTTTAAAACGGTTTAGAACAATCGCAGCTGCGCTCAAATCGACTGAATTCGATTGTGTTTATTTGAGTGCTGGAGGAACGAGAAAGGAAGCTGATAGCTGAACATTGTTGTGAGTGGGGTGGGTTGGGGGGGAGTGGGGGAGAGGTGGGGGGGGTTTGGTCAGTGGCGGCTTCTAGTAGCATTCGGTCCTAACTTCAGTCACAACTGTCGCCGCGACAGTCCCATTAGCGTCTGCCCACAGTGACTGCCATTGAGTCGCTCTGGGACGCTACCCTGTGTGAGGGACGCTATAGAAATGCAAGTTGTTGTTGTCGTTGTTGTTGTTGAGCCAGGTCAGCGACAGCACGGGTTAGACACAAAGCAAAACACTGTCCATCCAGCACACCCAGGTCAGGCGCAGCACACGCCAGACAGATGCTAAAATGAGACTACCCCAACAGCGTGTCTCAGCCAAAATTTTGGAAAGCTCCCTCCCCTTTACACCAATGTGACAGTATCCATTCCCCACACTGGCTGTCCTGTGGCATCTCAGAGTGAGATGGCTAATTGAGTTCATGCTGTGAGCACACACCCAGGAACTGGGTCATGTTTTCCCAAAACTCATTTTGCTTTAGTACTTGAGACTCCCTTCCCTCTTTGAATAGTGCCACAGCTTTTTAATGTCCACCTGAGCAGGCAGACCGAGCCTCGGTTTAATGTCTCATCCGAAGGACACTATTTTGAGTGCGCTTTAGTCCCTGGTCTCAGTTTGAGGGAGAGCGATCACATTCAGTGTTCCCTGTTGTATTGTGTTAGAGTGGTGTTGGAGTGGAGCTCTATATTGGTTAGAGCACTCGCCTTGCTAGCGAGAGGACCCAGGTTTGATTCAGGAAGTTTCCTTACTCCACACGCCTCTGTTTACCTCTGTTTACAAGTGTTCTGGGATGCTTGCCACCCCACATGAACCGTACTTTATAAATGCAAGTTGTTGTTGCTGTACCTTGCAGTAAGTAGGAACCTGGCTGGTAGTCGATTGGTGGATCGTTCTTCTGGGGGTTTATCATATCCCATCAAATATAATAATAATTTGGTCATTTTCAATCCATGACTGTTTGTGGGACGCTGCTGTGTACAATTGGCTGCTGCGTTTCGCCCACAAAATATACAGTCAATTCACTTTACAATATATTCTGTGAAGCGCTTTGAGCCATCACAAAGACGTGATAAGGCCCTACATCAAATGCAATTATGATTATTATTATTGTGTTGATTGGTGAGCATGGACCAGAGTATGGAACATAGTTGTTTGTGATGTCCTCTGTGTCTAGACCATGCTGACCTGGTAGAGCTGGAAGATAGTTCTTGCACCAAGATCCTGTAAGAGTGGAGATCATCACAAAAACAAATTGGACTGGAACAAGCCAAGTGTGGATGGGCTCGAAGGCAAACACAGCAGGCTCTACATTTTTTTTCTGTGGCAGCCAGGTGTAGTGGGACCATCAAGGGCATTTCAAATCATATTCTGTGAGGGGGTGAGTGAGGAACGGAAGATATGCAGGTTCTCATTTGAAATCATTTACTTTCACACTTACAGATTGCTATCCATGGAGGTGCCGAAATTCTGACTCAGCACAGAGAATAACCTTCGTTAATTATCGTGCATCTGTTGTATCCATGCAATGTCCATGAGACAAATTTTGCACTCGTGTCTCCATTAACTACCTGATCACTGCATAGAAACCGATAAACCACAGTATGTTTATAATGATAATAATAATCGTTGCATTTGATATAGCACCTCATCATGTCATTGAGACGTCTCAATGCGCTTCACAGGATATATTGTTGAGTGGATTGACTGTATTTTGTGGGTGAAGCGCGGCAGTCAATTGCAAACAGCAGTGTCCCACAAACAGCCATGGAGTGATTGACCAATATGAGGCACAAGTAAAAGTATTCACAGCCAAGGCTTGGAAGAAATAATTCTGGTTGTAAATGATCTATTTAACCGAATAATTCTTTGCGTAAAATTATCTCCCACAAAATGAAAGTGAAATCCCTTAACCTTAACAGTTAGGAATGATATGATTTAGCAGTGGTTGAAACCCTCTCCCAGAGTCCAGGCCATTTCTGTTAATTGCTGTGAATTTCATTTTATCTCTTTGAATGGATTTGCCAGTTGTGTTCCTATCACAAGCATTTCGGGGGCATTGACGGAAATTGAGCTGAATGTTATCAGAAGACCATCTTCTTAAAACATGGGCATAGGGTTTGTGTTAGTTAAAAGGTTAAATGACGTCAGTAAAAGGAGCGAGACGTAAATCAGTATCCGTCCAGAAAAACCTCACGTCCATTTCATGGGAAACTTTTAGATTTCCATTAACTGCATATGAAGCTAGTTCTTTGCAACATTGACTCCATATGAAATTTGCTGTATAATAATAATAATAATCTTTGGATTTGATATAGCACTTCTCACATCTTCGAGACGTCTCAAAGCGCTTCACAGAATATACTGTAAAGTGAATTGACTGTATATTTGTGGGTGAAACGCGGCAGCCAATTGCACACAGCAGTTGTGGATTGAGGGACCAAATTATTATTGTTTTTTTCTTGAGGGATTATTATCAGGCGTGTGGAGTAAGGAAACTTGCCTAAGGTTTTGCCCTGCCGGGAATCAAACCCAGGTTTCTCGCTTGTGAGGCGAGTGCTCTAACCACTGTGGTACAGGACTCCATAAGTGCAAGTTGTTATTACAGAGAAGTATTACACAGACCCAAGCCTTACACATCCATTGCAATTCTTAAGAATCAAATGTTTACAGTATTGGAGGAGCTCAATGGCCTATCCTAATTATGCTGTTTCCAGCTCCCCCACAGGATCTGTCTACTCCAATTCCATTGCCTTACTCTTTCCCCAACATATGTGGAGTCCTGTAGCTCAGTGGTTAGAGCACTCACTTTGCAACTGAGAGACCTGAGTTCAATTCCAGGCAGAGGGCGAAACCTTGGGCAAGTTTCCTTACTCCACACAGAGCCTAATAATAATCCCTCCAAAACAAAAAACAATAATAAATTGGTCATTTTCAATCCACGACTGTTTGTGGGACATTGCTGTGCGCAATTGGCTGCCGCGTTCGCCCACAAATATACAGTCAATTCACTTTACAGTATATTCTGTGAAGTGGTTTGGGACGTCTAGAAGACATGAAAAGCGCTATATCAAATGCAAGGATTATTATTACTATTATATCTGTGCTGGTGCTTGGGAGTTTCTCTCGAGATCCTGGCCAACAGCTCTCCTGATAAATTGATTCATCACCTCATAGCTATTTGCGGGACCCTGCTGGCACAAATACTTTGTATGTTCGCCTACGAATGGAGTCACTACTCTTGAGAATAATTGTACTTTGAGATGATACTACTGCACCATAGAAACCCACAGTTCAGAAGAAGACCAATTGGCCCATCATGTCTGTGACAGCTGCCTCAATAGCAATCCTTTCAGTCCCATTTGCCTGCTCTTTCCCCATTCCCTGTAACAGGCTTGTCTTATTATCTTGTCTCCTTGAAAGCCAATATGGATTGTGCCTCAGGGCATTCCATATCCTAGCTACTCTGTACGTGAATTTTTTTTTCCAAACTTCTATGTAAATCCAAGTTCCTTGCCTCTTTCTGTGCTACAAATATTGTATAAGATTAAGTACTAGTGGATGATATTAAGTCTGCATTTTAACTCCCTCTGGCATGTTGGAAGGGGTGTAAGGAGCTCCACAATTTTGAATTCGTATGAAAAAATAAGTGACTTGATTTCTACAACCTGAAGATTTGGGGAGGAGAAAGCAGAGCGGTGTATTTGGAGACAAACAAGTTTGGGAGAAACAAGAGAGGAAAGCTCGGGGAAAATGTGTATGATACCTATGGGAATTCTGCTCTGACACAAACTACTTCCAGTGGGAGATCCTACAGGCCATTGTGAAGCACCTTTGGTGCAAAAGGAGTTGCTGTTTGTAAAGTCCTTTGGATGAGAAGTTAAACTGTCTGTGCTTGTTCAGGTGGACGTTAAAGATCGCATGGCACTATACAAAAAGAGAAGGAGTTTCTCTCTCCCAGTATCCTGTCCAATAATCTCCCAAATAAAATCGGTCGCTCACTCCGTAGCTGATTGTGGGACACTGCCGTGTGCAATTGGCTGCCGCATTTCTCCCACAAAATACACAGTCACTTCAATTTACAATAAATCCTGCAAAGCACTTAAGGCGTCTCAATGTTGTTGTCAAATGCAAGGATTATATTATATTAAAGTGCCATTGTTATTTTGCCAGATCTATTTGCAAATATTTCATATTACAACCCAATAACACCTTTGGTAATGTTCCCATATGAGTGCAGTACGTCTGAACAACACTAGATTTGTCGATGCCCAGCACTGCTTGGCTACAAAGAAGAATTAATACACCATATTAATAATTTAGAAACCATTCACTGCACCTCACTACTGTGTACAATAACCTTACTCTTTTATGTTTCCCCAGATCTCTTGAAGGAACTCAGTAAAAGGCCAGAATCCAATCGAGGAGTCCAGGGAGTTTATCTACGAAATAGCGGATCCCAGGCCAACACATCTTTGTTGTCATTTCAGGTAGTTATATGTCTATACAAGTATATTTGTTGTTGCTTAGTTATTGCTAAAGTGAGCTATTCATGTGTTTTAATACTTGCATCTAATTGACTGTATAAGATTCCAGATTCAGAACGGAGCTTTTTTCCCTCATTTTGAGTGTTGCTTTTGATGTTTTTATGCTGTATTGGGAAAATGAAAATCAAGATTTTTTTAATATAAAAAACCTTACAAATTAGACCCCAACAACTTTAACTACTAATGTTTCTACTGCAGTATTAATGAATCTCCAGCAACTGTATTAATTCCTTTTCAGGAACGATACCTCCCAAATATCTTTATCTGTAGCTTTCAGCACAACCCCTTGTGTATCTCTCAACAGTGTCTATTTCTCCAGTTCAATATGATTGAGGTGAGGAGAAACGGTTCACCTAGATGGTTGTTAGTTTGTGGAATGCCTTACTGTAAATTGCTGGTGAAGCTGAGTCCATAACAGCACTTAAAAGGGAATTGGATCAATAGTTCAGGAAAATAATGTTCAAGAGGCGAAAGGGCAGGGGAATGGAATGAAAGTCGATATTTCTAGCAAGGGAGCTTCCACCTGCATGGAGATGATAGGGGGAATGGGATTAGAGTGGATGGCACCAACAGGGGAACTACAAATAGCACAGATGCAGAGGACTGAATAGATATCAACTGTTTGCAGCTATATGTGCTCTAGCTGTGGCTCTGCAGTATTTATACCAATGAAGCATGTTCCCTAGCAGTACTGAGAATAATAATCCTTGCATTTGATATAGAGCCTTGTTACATTGTCGAGACGTCCCAAAGCGCTTCACAGGATATATTGTAAAGTGCTTTTGACACTGTGTTCTGTGGGCAAAACGTGGCAGCCAGTTTGTGCACAGCAGTGTCCCTCCCACAAGCAGCTGTGGGCAACCCAGGTGGCTACTAGTTAGGGATGGGGGTTTGGATTTAATTCATGGCTGCAGTTCATGATGGTGACATCGCTGGGGTTTTCAAAGAACGTTGCTGCTGGTTGGATCACCATTTGCAAATTTGGAGCCCATTTCCGGAATCACCTGAGGAAAGTGTACAGGATTGTCACAGTCAACAACAACAACATGGGGGGCTATATAAATGCAGGGTATATAGCGTATATGCTATATAAATGCGAGATCAGTGGGGTAGCAACCCGGAGAGCTTCACAGTGTGACGAGCCAAGGGGGGCGGGTGGGGTGGTGACCGTAAGCACGATCAATAAAGGTCTTTAGGCGGGACTTAAAGGTGGATATTACACAAATGATGCAATGGAAAGAAATGCTCCAAAGCCTGGTGGTGAGGCTGGGTCAAGACCTCGTGGCTCAGGGCAGGTGGCGGATGAAGTAATCCCTGAGGAGGCTTTTGTTTACTTAGCCGGGGTCTGACACACGCTGAAACCCATCAGGAAGTTGAAGGTACAGAGCTTGATCAGAAGATGGTCCCCTCTCTATACACTAATCATGGTGGATTCCAAGCCCTGGATCCATGAGCCTATGTTCACAAGCTCACATTCCAGGTAACGCCATCCAGCAGTTGCTATGACAAGGCTCAGAGGTTCCTTGTCAGCTATTTGACAGACATCTGCCTTCAGGGTGGTAGCAAAACCTTTATAGGACAGTTTGTGACGTGCCAGCCACCTTGATGTTCTAAAGGTCCAAGCCCTATGCTGAGAGGAGGCTGAGGAGGATGATGGCCATTCATCAGGAAGACCTGTCCGACAGACACCGATCAATAACATCATTAACTCTTGAGAGCAATGTCTATGTCAGCTCTATGCACGGCAGAGCCTTGGGAAATGGAAAGGCCGCACATAATATATAATAAGATCCTTGCATTTGATACAGCACCTTGTCATGTTGTCAATGTCTCAAAACACTTCACAGTAGTTACTGTAAAGTGTGTTGACTGTGTGTTTGTGGCAGTCATGTTTGCACACAGCAGTGTCCCACAAACAGCCGTGAAGTGAGTGAACAATTTTACAGATAGTGGTAAGCTACTGTTGCCATATCAGTTACCCTGTAAGCTTACTGAACATTTTTGCCATTGGTTATGGAAGAAAAGCCTCAGGAAAACAGTCATGTGATGAAAATTTGCATAATCAGTATATGATACAATTTATTTATATATATATAATCAACCCCTTTAGATGGTTCCTACCGTGCTCTGCTGTGGTTTGTGTCTCCTTTTCCTCCCATTATCATCTCCAGAGCAGGAGTGTGCCAACCCCTTGCTGTGGGCATAGACAGACTCAGGGGGTCGTACTGGATTATAATAATAATGATCCTTGCATTTGATTTAGCGTCTTATCACATCTTCGAGTTGTCTCAAAGCGCTTCACAGAATATACTGTAAAGTGAATTGACTGTATATTTGTGGGCGAAACGCGGCAGCCAATTGCGCACAGCAGCGTCCCCACAAACAGTCATGGACTGAAGTGACCAATTCATTATAGTTTTATTTTAAGGGATTATTATCAGGTGTGTGGAGTAAGGAAACTTCCCCAAGGTTTTGTCCTGCCGGGAATCAAACACAGGTCTCTCATTTGCGAGGCGAGTGCTCTAACCACTGAGCTACAGGACTCCAATATAGTGTCCTAGCATAAGTGATCAAATTCATGAGATATCTCTCATTGTTCTAGTTGTATCTGCATATAGTAAAACAACTCACAACCTGGAATATGGATTTTCACATTTCCTCAATTAAATGTAGTCAATTAAATAACTTTAACAACATTATCAAACACTTTCAAATTGGTTCAATCCTGGCTTTAATAGCTTGTCTTAGAGACAACCTGGTCTCACTTCAGTTTCCTCCACCATTTGTGGCGCAAGATCCACTCTTGGCTGCTTCCTGGATGGAGTTTCTGCCACCAGAGTTGGGCAGGAAGAAAGGGAAGGCTCCAAAAGAAGGGGATTGGGTTTTAACCTAATGAACATTTTCGTGTCTGACCATGAGGGTAGCATGAGCTCCTTTGAGGCCATCCACTAGTCTCGTGTCAATGACTTCATTGTGTAGAAGAGAGGTTGCCACTAAGGTTGGGGATCTCATTCCCTCCCCTCACCTGATATGACCGGAATGACATTAATCACGGAATAACAACTGTTGGGCATTCTCTAGGACGGATTGTCATTCATGTGGCAGTCCAACAGGTGACACAAGAGGTGACCCAGGTTATTTTCCATGACTTGAGGAAATGCTGCACAGGAGGCACCAAAGGGAGCACCATATCTTACGCCAAGGTCTGGATTCACGGACCTTCAAAATGTGGTGCGCCACATTGTCCCACAGAGTCTCCACAGCTGCTTTGAAGCAGATGTTGTACTCCTCCAGCTGTCTATATTTTTCTAGTAACAGCTGGTTCATTTCAGTGCAGGTGCCACCAACGCTGTGATAATTTTAGGTGAAGAGCAGGACTGTATGTGGGGCGAATGGGGCTCTTCAGAGAAAGATGTCAGAGGAGAAACACGCATTGATGTCTCCTGCTATCTCTCTTCCTGGTGATGATGAGGACAAGTGGGCATGATGGCAGAAAGTCTGCAATATAAGAAAGGAACACACAGTTGGGAGGCTTTTGCTTGTACATTACAATCAGTGCTGATATCAACCCTTTATCATTCTCTGACCCTGCCTTGACCTCCCTGTCTCTTTCATTGGGACTGCCTAGCAGGTCTTTCTGGATGAGGAGAGCATTTCCTCTCCATGAACTCTTCCTTCTCAAAGCTCCCTCCCTTCCCTCTGGTCAAGTGCCAATTCTTTCTGAACATGAACCAAATATCTTCCATAGGATTTGGACCTGCAAATCACTTATGGGGTAAGCAAGACATTGCCTGGAGAGTGCAAGAGGAGGGGAGGACTCGGTGAGGAGAAAGCTTCCACAGGCTGGGTAGGTCCTGGGTAAGAATCAATTTAATGGCCATCATGTGTGTTAACCCAGCAACAACGCATGGTTCATCAATAGGATATAACACTGCACAGAGTTCATCACAGTGTGCAATACGATTTTTGCTCCGTGCTATCCTAGTGAGCAAAGCTAATCCACTTCAAAACAACAATGACTTGCATTTATATAGCGCACTTCATATGGGCTGTACAGATGCCCTGCCCATCCCACCATTGGCGTTCGGGTCTTCAGCCTTTCTGGGCCCCACTCTCTAGAACTTCATCCTGGAGTCCCTCCGCCTCGCCCTCACCCCCAACTCCCCCAACCCCCTTCTCTCCTTCAAGTCCCTGGTTCAAGACCTGCCTCTTCGACCGCGCCTTCGGTCATCCTTTCCCCATCCACCCCTCTTGACTCCAACCGGCCATCCAGCGTCTTGGGACGTCCTCAGGAGGCGAAAGGCGCTGTGTAAATGCAATGTGTTGTTGATGTTGTTGTGTGTTGCGCCTGGCTACACACGTCGTGTCTGTCTCTTCACCAGCCAGGGAGATGGTCCCAACTGCTGTGGAGCACCCCCCCCCCCCCCGCCCCCAAACCCCAGAACCGCAGATGGTACTTGTGGCTCTGGCGCTGTGTCAGCACACTACGGATAAGTGGGTCAGGTAGGTTACCATGGTGATGTTTAGGGTAGCTTTGAGCAGCAGGGCTGCTCGGCTCACAGAGGAGAGAAGGTAGGGGATTTCACGGTATCTTCATGTCAGTGTCCTCATCCTCACAGAGGAAAACAACACCGAGAAAAATATTCCCTGAACCCACAGCGCAAAGTGGGGGGTGAAGGAAGGAGCTGACACGGTAAGAGAGATTCCTTCCATTTTTTTGTTTGGCTCAAAGAACAGTGAAGGCGATGGTGCAGGAGAGAGAGTTGGTTTCCAGATTGATCACAAGTGCTTCAGCATCACAGGAGGGACAGAGACACAGAGAGAGAGAGACAGAGACAGAGAGTGAAGATGAAAAGGCTTTCTTGTTGTTTTTTTTTGGCTCGTGATGTTTTGGGGCTAAGCTGATGGTTGAGAGAAGAGAGCGCATGTGTGTGTGCCTCTCT